ATTAATGATTTCTGGAGTTAGACATCAAATTGGGACGAGATATTTTCATAGGATATGCCTTAAGTTAAGATTTTTAATCTGGCATTTAAAAGATGAAGTTTAATTAATATGTTATTTTTGAATTTTTGAACATTTTTTCCGATTCTGAATCATTGTTAAGTGTAAATAAACAAAATTTTTATCAAAATTGTAAAAAATATGAAGAATTGGACTAATCTAGACAATGATAAGAAAAAGAAGCTCTTACACAACTTCAATGAGCAATCTTAAATACAATTTTGAATGTTTGTTTCTCTTGATCATTTGAAAGTTCCACTAGATTCTACTAGCTTACCAAATAAAATGTGTAGAATCATTCTGAAAAGCAAAATATCCAAACACGAAGTGTCAATCCAGAAACATAATAAACAAATAGCGTGATAATGACCGAGTAAGAGAACAAAATGTATTTGTCACCTAGATTCACAATGGAATTTGCGCAAACTACAAATAATAAATAATAATGCACGAAAGCAAAATCAAGACACGAACAAGGAGAATTTTCCATCTCTTAATTCTTTTAGTGTATTCGTAGAGGAAAAACTGTATTGCAATTATTCAAGCAGATAAATTAAATTTCATCATACAAAGATTCAAGTGGCTGAAAAAAATTTTAAATTACAGAAGCATGTGAAGTCAATTAATATAAATCTCATTTATATGAGAGCTGTGGAAGAATAAATAATAAAAATATATAAGAAAATATTTCAAAACTTTTAATTGCTTTTCTCATTTTTTTCGTCTTTCTTTTCATTTTTTATTTGCTCATTTCCATTCCAAAAAAAATGCTTGAATTGAGATGAAAATATCATAAAAATTGATTTTCATTTGAGAATTTTTTTAAAGATATTTTTGCTGCTATACATAAAAATTAAGAAGTGTATGACGTCAAGGATTGAAATGATGGTGTCCTATCGATGAGACTGACATGTGGTCAATACTCAATTTACATTAAAAGTAGGATTCTGTGAGTGTAGGTGGAGGTTATCATTCTGTCGATTTTGGTATTTGAGCACTCGAATTCTATTCAATTATATTGTGTTTTTGTGATCGTCTAAGTCAGGAGTGTAGTTTAATGCTTGTAAAGGTGTACTGAATATTAAAATCGTTGCGAATCTCTTTAATGAACATAACTTATCAAAAAATCCAATTGATCAATTCCACATCTTTAAAGTGACCCATTTGTGTCTAAAGCCAAGCATCAAGTGCCACAGAACATAGATTGAAAACCACTGCTTTAATTTTGTATAATTGAACCCTTTGCACCACCCCTGCATCTAAGCTGCAACGCTTATAGAGCACTTTATGTACATCAACAAACTCATGTCATTTGATTCACAAAGAGGATAAAATTGGCTTTTTCAACATCGTTTTATAAAATTGTTGTGGAGGAAGTAACTCAATGTAAAATGGATGTGGTATTGCGGAAGGAATAGACGTGAATTACATGATACAATATTTGTGCAAAATTTTTGTCATGTTGAGTTTGAAGAAGTTTGTTGATGTTACGGCGTTTTATGGGAAAAATTCTGGAGTTCACTAAGCTGCTTAAAACTTTTGGAATTTTTCGGATCTTTATTGACTATAGGAAAGTTGAATTATAAGCTAGAGAATGAATCTATATGTTGGCGAAAATGTCAGTGAGACAGTGAGATATCTGTGGCTGATTTGCTAAGCAACAACCCAAAAGATGGGAGTTCAATCAGAGCGTAAAGTCCTATGCTGGTTTCTAAGGATGCTCAAGGAAGAATGCTCTAGTTATAGTCAAATCGTAATCAACTCTAGAAATACATCAATTTTTGAATCTGGCTTTAGAAAACTGATTGCTTGACTTATGTTATTGGATATAATGTTTACAATATTACTGGCATAAAGTTCATGACTTTACATTACACAAGCATCAAAATCTAAATTTATACAATACAATTACTGCAAATGTAACTGCAACTGCGACTTTCAATTAAAACTTCCATAGCTTCCCTCAACTTTTGCCACAGAAAGTTACACAGATTATAAAAATATTTGAATATAAAGTTACAACTGCTCATGGATATTCATGAAGAATAAAATTTTAAAAAGTACTAAAAAAACTTTTTCATTTCCAACTCTAGTCACGAAAGGCTCCCACAACTACAAGTTTCCTTCCAAAACTTCCTTTATTAAAATTCTTCTTGCCGCCAAAAAATATGACAATTAATAAGCATCAGAAGACAGCAGTAATGCTGATGTGTCTATGATTCTCTAAAGAAGCCTCAAAATTCATGTGGAAGTAACGGTACTTCTTTATTTACTTTAACAAAATGTTGATAATCTCTTTTAAGCAACAAGAACCGCCTGAAGACTGATGAACTTTTTCAATGAAACTTTCGCTTAGAATCGTGAGAAGGTGGAATAAATTTTTCATTCTCATAAATAATTCTCAAACTTTTTCATTCTAAACTCGTGCATGGCTTTTAACAGAAAGAATCAAGTACGGTGGTTGTAAATTTTTCAGCAGAAATCTTCATCGATCCGATGAAAGAAAAGAGAATTGGCAATTAAATTCAAATTTCATCATTTTGATTTTTGATGTATCAATCAATCAATCCTTGACCTCCTTCTTATTCTTGGCTTCTACTACACAAATTTATAGTATTTTAGTTACCATAATAAGTATTATTATTTTTTTATACATAATTGGTTGATAAATTTTGAATTTTTTAAAATGTTTTTAAGCGCATTTTTGCTACGATAAATGCTGTTTGAAATACTGTATTAGTTGATTTTGAACTTCATAATTTTAACCTTCCTTTAAAAGTTCTTATTTCTTAGTTTTAAAAGTTAAATTTTTTAAAGTCGTTGATTCTAAAATTCAAAATTTGAACTTCAATAAAGTCGTCAATTCTAAAGTTTAAATTTTGAACTTTAATAAAGTCGTTGATTCTTAAGTTCAAAAATTAAATCTTTGAAATTCATTAATTCTGAAGTTCAAAATTTGAACTTTAAAAAATCATTAATTCTGAATTTCAAAATTTAAATGTTTAAAAGTCGTTAATTTTGACCTCTACTTTTAAAAATTTAAATAATTTGAAAAATATTTGAGCATCGCAAAAATGCGCTTAAGTCGCCCAACCTGATAATATTTGAGTAGCTTCCTTTAAATACATTTAAGTTTTTAGTCATGAACCAGAAAAAAAATGAAACTCTTTATAGCTTTTTAAACAAAACGAAAGATTTCGCCATTTCATGTGATGAAAAGTAATGAAATATGCGAAAAAATATAATTAAGTATTCAAAAATCGTTTGCTGCTTGCTCCGAACGTTGAGCAAGAATAAAAAAAAATTATTTTCTGTGATTGGAACTTTAATCAAGAGTAAGAAATGACGATATGGTAGACGGTCTAGTGTTTTAAAAATGATTCTATTTTTAATCGCCATTAAGTTTCATTCCTAAAGCTACAATTAATAATTATGTATATGAGTAGAAATTTGTGATTTTATCTTAACAAACAAATAAAAAAAATTGATGATTTTAATCTGATTCTTATGATTTAATGTGTTAATGATAATTATACTTAGACATGAAATATATGTAGAATATTTTCTTATTTCTCTTCTAGAATGGAATCTTATTGACGGCACTAAGTGGATTTTTTATTTTACAATTTTAATGTTGAAATGTTTAGTCAGTTTAATGACTTGTGAAAGTTCAATTTAATTTTTTATTTCTTTTTGTCATTGCTTGATTAATTGAGAGCGAGAGGGGAATTTATTTGTTTTTTTTTATGATGTTGATTCTTTTGCAATTTTGTTTGTTCTGTGATTTTTTTTGCAAGGTTTTGTGCCAATTTGCTTGGCATTTTAATTTCGCGGTTTGATTAAATCAAGTTTAACAGGTAAAATTGTTTTGAAATTTTTAACTGTTTTTGAGATTTGAATTTTTGAACTTGAATTTGTATAAATTAATTCAAATCTTAAGCGATTATGAAAAAACTTTAAACCTCGTTACAATCAAAATTTAAATTTCTACAGATCGTTAAAATATTTCAAATTTTGAACCTTAACATTTTTTTTAATTTCATCAAATTTATTTTGAATCCCAAATGACAGTTAAAAATTAATTCAAAATTATCAGTTAAGTTTATTTGAATTTTTTGAACATTGTCAATTTTTTTGAACTTTCTGAAACCAAATTTCAATTTATAATGACTGTTAATAATGATTCCATTCTAAACTAGAACATTTTTCATTCGTGAATTATATTATTACAAAAAATACTACACAAGATAAATTTATACAACATTTTTCCTTTCTTCTCAATTATAATATAGCCACAGATAGGAAGAGAAAGAGATAAAATTGTGATTCAATATGCAATAATAAAGAATAATAAAATGAAGTAAAAAAGAAGAAGAAATTTCATTTCTGTGATGCATAATTTAGTTTATATTTATTCTTTTTTTGTTGTTGATGTTTTATATCTTAAAGCTTTTGATTGTCATTTCACTTAAATGTTAAATAGTATATTGAAGTTGAATGGGGTCGTGAGGGGAGAGAAAAAAATAAAGAAATTTTTATGCATCATTTTGGCACAAAATTGTTTTTGCTTGATTTAAATAAAATAATAATAAAAATAAAATAATATTATTAAAAATTAAACAAGGGGGTCAGTGCAAAAATGACGTCAAGCATTGAATATTGAGATTAAAATTTATAGGGGAAGTTTTTTTGGATTCTGTTTTTTTTAATTATCTTTTGAATTGAGAAGCTTTCCGGCATAAAGATAGGGGGAGGGGGGAATCCAACTTATAATGGATCCAAACAGATGAGGGGGCTGATATAAAATCTCCTAAGAAATCGAATATTCAAGATTTCGCTTGATTATCCTTTATTTAAATTCAATGAGTAGCACGAAAAAACAAAAGAGAGGGAGAGTTGAGGGTGGGGGGGGGGGGGGGGGCTGTATAGCGGAGCTAGTCTTTGTCAACTACAATGAGACTTGCTCTCTATCTAAAAGTTAAGGACATTGTTTCATGAGGGGCTAGATATAAAAAACCAATATGGTTTCCAATGCTAGACATCATTTACGAACAGTCCCCCTCCCCATAAAATGATTCTTACTTAATAATTATATCGTTGTGGTGTCACAATTTGCACTTTTCTCGTATACGGAAAGAAATCATCGGCTCGAAAGCTCTTTGAATTTTCTCTTGCTCGCTGATAGTCCTCCAACAATGGCTGTTGATTCCAATATTGAAAGATATTTGTTGTTAACCTATGATTGTTGTCACGTGGCCATGAAAATCTCGATGTAGCTGACGTTGAGGATGATGGTATTAATCTCGATTGAATTCTCGATGAAGTTGTAACAATCTCATCATTATTATTGTTATAATCATCAGGAAATCTCACACGATTATTAATTTCTTCATCTGGAAATTTCAATTTATTTCCTTTTACAGACTGCGTTGAGGTCTCTATTGTTGTTGCTGTTGTTGCTGCTGTTGGTACATGATGATGATAAACGAATTTATTTGTTTCATCATTTCCATTGCTATTCTGTCGATCATCGAGACTGTAATATGATGTAGTCTCGTACTTAAATGCTGATGTCTTATCTTCATCTGTGATTGAAGTATTCTCATCGGTTGTTGATGTCTTGATTGAAACATTATCACTATCATCACTAGTCTGTAATGTTGTTTGATCTTCCTTCATAAACGGATCTATTGTTGTAATATAGTCGTCATAGTCACTACTACTATTCAGTATCGATGATGCATTATCAATCATGATGAGTGAATCGTTGACTAAGAAACTTGTATCGTCAAAATTAATTGTATCACTGCTCTCAATAATTGACTCTTCCGTTTGCGAATTCTCATTGAAATCGAGCACAGTGGAATTTGATAAAATTTCATCATCATCATCGTCGACATCGTAACTACTATTTTTTATGTTTATTGTGCTGTTGCTGTCTATGATTGTGAAATTATTATTATTTTTTGTAGAATTCTCTCTCTCAAGAGTTTCAACAGCCAGTGGCAGTAATAAGAATGATGGTTCAACGTTCTGGTTATCTTCATTGCTAAGATCTTGCATAACTGATGTTTCGTTCTCATTTGAGCTCATTTTTTCTGTTATGTTTTCGTACTCTAATGCTATTGCTGCTTCTGTCGTTGTCGTTGTTGTTGTTGGATCGATTTGCTGTGGGGAAGTCGTAGTATTTGAAAAGGTTGAGCTGAAATTCTCATTTACATCATCGTCATTTGAATTCTCATGAAATTCATCCACAGATGGTTTTATTGTTGGATTGTCATGCTCATATGTTGTGTCGCTCACATCATCATCGCTTGATAAAGTTGTGATAATAATTTCAACAGAGTCTGTTTTATTTTCTGTACGAAAGTCATGAAATGTGCTTGATGACATAAATGGATTGTCGGTTGTCACTTCAGTTCCATATTCCTTAACTGTTACATTTTTGGCATTAATATTACTATTACTATCTGTTTCGTCTTCGTTACTCTCGTGGAGTATTGGCACAAGTGGCAATTTTATGTCCTCTTGATTCTGTTCATTGTTCGGCTCATCCTCAAATGAATCATAATCATAATCGAAATTTGTTGTATCGTCTGTCGTAATAAGACTCGAGAGTCGTGTTGCTAACATCTCTTCCGATGTCTGATGAATGTTAATAATCTTAATACACTTTCCATTATCGACTCGATATCCATCTGGACAATATGGAGCTGGTTGATTTATAAAATTTGGTGTAATAAAAATTGACTTTGCTGTAATTTTCTTTGAATCGCTCGTAAATGGCGATGCTGGCTTACGGTCTTCGGAGAACCATGCAGCCTGCCAAAATAATTGATCGTCGATATTCTCCAATGCTTTCGATTGGACCGGAAGAGCTCGATATAAGCTCTTAACGCACAAAATTAATACGATTAATATTCTCATTAATCTCATGATTCTTGTGGCTTATTACATTGCTTTCTATACGTTTTCGTGATTGAGAAATACTGAAAGAAATAAAAGAAAAAAAAATTTTTATCATTATCGTGTTGGGTAAAAGAGGAAAATAATCATCATGTCATGTTTGTTCTTTTCTCATTTTATATGTCATGTCTATGTGTGTGGAACATAAAAAAAATTATTCAGCATTTTTGTGTGCGAAAGAAATTGTTGTTGATCATTATTATCATTATTTTCTATTGTCTATACTGCCATTTTTATGTTCTTCAATTAGAATTTAAAGACATTAAAATTTAACTGGATCTTTTGAACATTCGTTTTATTGCTTTTTTCTTTCGCTTTGTACTCAGCGTTTTTATGGCAGAGCACGAATGTCATGGCGAATATTGAGTTGAATGTTCTGTTAGAGGATTTAATGGTTATTCTGAGCATAGAAGACTGTTTTATGGACTTAATTTAATTTAATTTGAAGCTTTACAGAAAGTTTTTATAGAATCAACAAAAAAAGGTAAACAAAGAACATTTGTCTTCAAAACTATTGATTTTCAGCTAGGAAACTATTAAAATTGAACCTTGTACATCATTCTTGCCAAGTTTTTAAACCATTTTCATCAATAAAAGTATAGTTTAGAAGTGAATTGAGCTTAAAACTTCAAAAACAAAACTCGAAGTGAACTTAAAATTTGGCGCGAAAAATTTTCAAAAGCAGAAATCTAAAGATTCTCAAATTTGTCTTTCAGATAAGTATTATTTTGCATCAGGTTAGCCTTGGAATGACCAAAAAGTGCCAAAAACCAAACTTTACATCCTAATTAATCGTTCAAAAAATCACGCATTCACCAAAAAGTGTGCCACAACCCACACCATATCACATTTCTCAATCTTATATTGATAAAACCCCATTACAAAGTTGTTGACAAATTACTCATAAGCCTGTATACACATCCTATCTATGGAAATCATCTAAAGTAAATGCAATAAATTCGCTTAAAATGTGTGCAACTCACGCGATTTTAATTTCTCTGGATACATTTACATAATTTCTTACATATTAAAAATAAGTACGTTTCGAAAAGTAACGTGCAGCCATAAATAAAGCCATCGAAGATTACTAATTTTCTCCTTTTTAGAAATTGTTGATTGTTTTATTCCTTTTTAAAAACTGCTTACTAATTGGATTTTATAAGCTACTTATAAGCATTTTATTTAGAGTAACTGAAAATTGTTGAGAGTTCATGACTTTATAGGTAAGTATCATAGGAGATTAATGTTGAGATATCATTCATTAGTAGCTTGAGTAATGGCAAAAGGAAACGAGAATTTATTAAAATTTACAGATATTTTGAAAGCCGTCTTTATGTGTCATTAATTTTGAGTGCTTATTGATTATTATCATGAGTTGGCAGAGAATGGAAGTTGACATTGATTAGGCTGTGTTTTAGATTTGATAAATAACGGTTGTTTTAATTTTGAATTTTTTAAAATCAGTTTCTGAAAATTCAATTTTGGCAATAACGGTCAATTAATTTCAATTTTAAAATTAAGTTCTGGGGCTGTTCACTTATTACGTTCGCATTTTAGGGGGAGAGGGGGTTAGAAAAATTGTAACAAAATGTAATATAGGGGGGGGGGGTGTCAAGAAGTATGTAACGTTCTAACTGTCGTCTGTCTTTTAAAAAAACATTTTTTTTAAATTTTCCACCTTTTTATCAAAATAAAATAAATTATGAACGTTCAGGAGGGGGGGGGGGGGGGCAGTGTGTGAGTTGTAACATATTGTAACAAGGGGGGAGGGGAGGTGAACGTAATAAGTGAACGGCTCTTCTGCAAGATTTTTGCAGTTCCAGCAATCAATCGCAGACGCAAAAATTGCCAACTCAAAAAACTTCCATGACATTATTCACAGTCTCCAAGTCAATAGTCTGCAGACTCCTTTCAGTTGGTAGCAAGTTTAAAAATTTAATTAATTTAGTAATTAATCCGACAGCCGATCTATTAGCAGATCTAATTAATTACCAAGTTTAATTAATGACGCCAATTTTTGCACAATAAACATAAATGGATACACGTTATGTTTGTCAACAATTCACAACACAAATATTTAGAAATACTCATCAACTCTTCATTATTACAGCTCATTAATTATTCAATTGAGTTAAAATTTGGAGTAAATATTGTGATTTTATTTCCGTGTAATTATGTAAGCTATTCAATAGCACATTTTTATTATATATTTTATAATTTATTTCTGGAAAATCCAATCACGATTATTGCTTAATTTTTGGATAATTTTAATTGAAGGTTTGATTACAAACAAAAGCACAAATTTTTGGCTCATTAATTTGATGATTTTTAGATCCAATCGATTGCAATCAATACAAATAACCCGTTTTGGAACTTTTTATGATTAATTAGAATTCAAGCTTGACTTCTCGTTTTAATAAAACTAGAACAGTGCCGTTTTTGACATAATTAATGCGGTTCAGTTCTCGGAATCTAGTTTGAACTAAGTTTAAAAAACTAAGTTATAAAAAACTAAGTTTGAAAAAAACTAAGTTTGAATCTATTTTAAACTTAGATTGATTTAAAATTGAACTTAATTTGAAGTAAGATTGAGTTTAGATTGAACTTAGTTTAAACTATGTTTTAAACAATTTCAAACTTAGTTTTATCTAAGTGATCTAGTTTGAACTAGGTTCGAACTAGATTGAGCTAAGTTTGACATAAGATTGAGCTAAGGTTAAAATTACTTTTGCACTTTATAAAAACTAAGTTTGAGCTAGCTTCTAAGCTAAGTTTGAATAGAATTGGATTAAATCTGAACTGACATTAAACTAAGTTTGTACAAATTATAAGTAATCAAATTTTTCATGAGAATTGATGGAAGTTTCGTCTGAATTCATCATATGAAATTGCTTGATAATTTGTAGACTTGAACAGGTTTGGGAATGTTCATAAATGATGTCAAACATTCAAGAATGAGATGTGGGTCAGGTCTAAGATTATATGACACTCAATATGATAAGAATTGTTGTTTTTTATTCAATTCTTAGTTCTTGATAAACGTCATTTGTTAACAACTGCTTATACATTCAACATCAACAAAACCCCAAACACTCAGGTAATAAAAATTATCAAGTAGAACTTGGCGTTCACCAAGTGTAAAAGTCATTTTTAACCCGATTAGCAAATCATGACAAAACTCATAAACTTCTCAAAATTAACAATTTTTTACAGTTTCAAGTAGTATTTGACATTTTTGAATTCAGTCCAATCCAATCGATTTACAACTTTGCATTTAAAAAAATCACTTGTTACTTAATTCATGTGCACATGATTTATTTAAATTACAATCAACTCTGTTTGGCATTGCTGGCCACAGTAACACTAGTAGCATTCGAATTTATTTATTTATTTCATGAAAAATTTTATTAAATTAATCGCACAGCACAAATTTGGACATTTCACCTTTCATGGCTATTTCTATAGATTCTTGTATTCGAATGTTAAAAGTCGCACTCCAATCACTAAAAGAATTCGCTTCGAATTAACAATGCATAAAAAATTAAAGACCGAATTTGTTTGATTCCTATTTAGAAACTGATCTTAATAAAGCCCATTAAAGCAAGTCTGATCATTTACAAATACAATGTTTTTATGTGGATATATTTATAGCATAGCATGGGGATTGTTCATGAATGATGCCTAAAATTGTCTCCTTTTAGGGGTTTTAGGTGGAGGGGATTGAACCTTCTACGACTCAATTCTTGAATGTTTCAAATAAAAGAAGAGATCCCTAGAATGAAGTTCCAAAAAATTTTTATGAATAGACGTCACTAGTGAATAACCCCATTTGACTATAAATAAAGATTTTTTATAAATTAGAACAAGTTTGCTTATTAATTGAAACATTCAATTTTAATGTCAAGTGGGATTTAATTCCTTAAACAGACTCAATTAATAATTTTATAGTTGAAAGGACATAATTCTCTGTAGCATCCAAAATTAATGAGTTCTGATCATCTGTAAATTGTTTCCAATATTTCTTTCTTCCCTACAAGTGTGTGATGGATTGATGACTATAACATATGTTGAACATAAAAAAATGCTCATTGAATCATCTCCTCGAAATAATGGAATAAAAAAAAAAAAATCATAAAAAATGTCAAGATGTACAGCTCAAAAATATTAAACAAATCGCTTAACCTCTCTTGAGATCGAGAGGCGATATAATTAGCTTTTAAATCCAACGTAGAAATCAACATTCATAGTTAATTTTATTATTGTGATTTCATAAGAAGCGAAACAAAGAAATGATCTAAGACATGAAAGTGATTCAAGGCTAATATCAATGAGAAACTTTATTGTAATAAACAAGAAGAAATCTACAAATGATCTAATGTATTGTTGTTGAGATTCTTTCATATTCGAGGGATCCTAACATTTTGTTATACACATCAATGTTGGATGTAAGTTTTGGAGATTGATGTTTATAGCTTAGATCTCGTATTTTAGATTGCTGAGCTCTAGTTTTATCAATTTAATGGAAAGGTAGCTCCTCAATGAAGACATGAACTATACCGACACATAGAACTCCACAAAATGGAATCTATCGACTCTAATGAATCCTTAATAAACCATATGGTTCATCCTCAAATCATCAAAGTCCAGTAAGTCCAGCGAAATATGAATTTCTCAATAAATAATCTACACCAAACCCTTTGATCTACATTAATGCCGGCGATACACCACAAAAAGAAGGCTAAGTAAAAGGTAAGTGCTCAATTTGTTTTAATGCACCTGTCCATATTGATCAAGGCCTTAATTTGAACAAGTTGGAGGATGAAATACTGACCTTTATTTACTAATAATAAATTTAAGAGCTCCAATTTTCGAGACTAAACTTCATCATATGGTTGATAAATAGCATAACATTCAAATAGCAATGATAGAACTAGTTTTGATTCCAACTTTTCTCTTAAAACAAAGTAACAGTCAAGTCTTTAGGAGCCGTTCACTTATTACGTTCGCATTTTAGGGGGGAGGG